TAACAGAACTTGAAGTCTTCATGTCTGAAATGGCGTCCGTTGTTATAGAGAGACGGGATCCGGAGACAGAGGGCCTCGATCACCCTGAATTCATGCCGGCTAGGCGATTCGGTACGGAAGACGAAGTGGCAGGCTCCATCTTGTATCTTGCAAGCAGGGCCGGGGCATATTGCAATGGTACCATCTTCACGTTTGATGGCGGTAGGCTGGCGGTTATTCCTTCGACTTACTGAGGCTAGGGCTATTACTCGTATGTTGAAAGGTTGGAGCAGATGCGTCAGTGTGTATCAACTTCTGAGCAGGCTAATATTGTTGATTTAATACGAATGCTTGGCGGTGGTATCTCTTGAGACCATGAGGGAGATATTGGTCTCAGTGAAACGTGACACGTCACTGGTCCTTTTTGGTATGCAAAAGAAGTCATACGCGTACATGTAAATGCGACAGGCTAGACGTTCCCTGATGCATCCGGTTTGGTGTCAGTCCTAATGCGTCTCCAAACTTCAAAGCCTCAAGGGGCCAGACACGCTGGTAGGTAAGTACTTACTAAGTACTTTAGGGTATACTCTGACACGTCTGAGGCCCTGACTCCTGATATGATAATTGCAAATGTCTGAGCTCCGATAGATAAGTATTCACCGTTGTTTTGACCTGCTGCAGGAATCCTCCCTCCTTGAAGCTGTGCGATGGACGAGCAAGTACACGTATTATCCCAAAAGCGACGCATTGTGACGGAATAGGCCTGCAGCCTCATTCTATTAGGTATTGGCACGAGACCCTGTGCCCACTCAGAATTGCCTATCAGCCCCTACCTGAGCCTAGTAGGTCTCCCCCACACGCAGTGATAGTGTGTTAGGCTATCACATGCCTAGCATTGTGGAGCTGACCCGGGGATGCCTTATCTACACGTCTTACGTCCAAGATAGGGACCTCAAGCTGCAGCGTGCAGACTGGGCTTGCAAACATCCAGTCCTATCAAAACAAATTGGAAGTCGCAGGCTGACCAAGGTATGCTGATATCAAGGTTTGACGACTATAAATTATCCTACCCGGCGTAGGCAGACATCCATTATACTTTTGTTTATAAAATCCTTATTGCCCTGTACCTACCTCTATTAATCTATACCCTCGAAACCCTCCTATCCAGACGTGATGGCTCCGACCCTATCACCGCGTGCCATCTTCACGTACGCGAACAACCTATTATCACAAGTACCCCTTCTCAGCAGTATCCCAACCAGTTTTCTAGACCCAGTATCGTCGATATTCGAACCGGCCGGCCCGACAAAACCGTACGAGACATACAACAATGAACAATCCGTCTTCGATGGCATAACGCCATACGATCCCCTTACCGGGGCGCCAACGTGTCCTATTGATGGGCCTATAAGTTGCCAAAACAAAACTGTCGCCGATTCATGTTGTTTCATACACCCGGGCGGTCGGCTTCTGCTTACGCAGTTCTGGGATGAGGAAATACATGCTGGCGGGACCGAGGAAGACTGGACTCTCCATGGACTCTGGTAAGTTTCCAGGGCCGTTAAATACGATTATATCACTGGCGTACAATATCTGCACGGTAGATGTACAAAATGGCGTGAGACAGAAAGTTGCGGGAATGCTGACAGGCGCAAAAAAAAACAGGCCAGACTTGTGTGACGGCTCCTACGATCAATATTGCGGAATGACGCCACGTTTCAACAATATCACCGCTGTTCTGGAACATTATGACCAAGGCGAGCTCGTAGAATTTATGAATCGATATTGGGTTGCGAACTAGTATGTCTACCAATTTCCTTCGACGCCGTCTATCCTACTTCACAGAGTACAGGGGTGGATTGGGAGACTCGGGATACCCATGACTGACTGACTACTCGCAGCGGCACAAACGAACATCTCTGGGCGCACGAATACAACAAGCACGGGACATGCATAAACACGCTCGCGCCGAGCTGTTACGGTGAAAGCTACACTCCGGGCGTAGAAGTAGTGGACTACTTCGTCCGCGCCTTCGGGCTTTTCCGTCTGTTGGATACATACCGTGCCCTCGAGATAGCCGGGATCGAGCCAGATTCGTCCAAGACATATGCGCTGCAGGATGTACAGGACGCCCTCGAGAAGTTTAGCGGAAGCCGAGTAATCCTAAAGTGCTCTCGGCACGGTGCCCTGCACGAGGCTTGGTACGTCTACTTTGTGAAGGGTAGCCTCCAGGTCGGTGAATTCGTACCGGCGAAGGATACCTTCAAAGGCGACCAAGGGAACTGCCCAAGCCGCGTCCGATATTTGCCCAAGAGGAAGAAGTGAAACGATGATGACAAGACAATGTAACTATATGTAGTACGACAATAATTGGATAATATTTAATTTTCTACCAGGGGTAGCTTTCTCGGTTTTTATCAAGGCAAAGCAGTCGCGGCACGGGAAAATGTGACGTTCCCGTCTTCTGTCCCCCTTATGCTTTTCTATGCGGCAGCACCTCGACTAAGTATGTAAGTACAACGTAGCTGACATAAAGGTACTCGTAGATCTCAAGAGCGGACCCCGAGACCGCCACATCCACCTAGCCCATCCGAACACTACCCACACTTACTTTTTATAGTCATCTAATGGCTAAAGTAATTAAGGTACCTACTGGCCAACTTCCCCATAACATTTGTTTGCGTTTGTTTCTCAGCTATTTTGAAATGGAGACTTTTTCATCCTCCTGTACTCGAACTCATATACCTTTCAGCGTTGAGGCGTCCAATGATTCAGCTCATGGTATACTGGTCTTCATCCACATCTGGCATGTCCTAGTTAAATGTGTTCATATAGGAAGGATTGGAAATATGGAAAGTGGTAATAGTATTCTGAGACGAGCTAACTATCAGGCTAGCACTCGTACAAAGTTCTCCTGATAATCTGCTAATATAACATTCTTTTCAAAGACATCAGAGAATAAGAATGCGCCATCGAAAGAAACTCGCACAAAGCCAACTATTTCCATTCCCCAATCCTCGTCTAATTCAGTCTCCGATTTTGTCGTCAGGACCTGTTGATTCTAGACGTCAGTCATTTTTGCCAACCTCCTAGACAAGGGAGTTAAGGTTAAGAAAGTGTTTGGGGGGGGATGCCTTACTCTGATTTAACCGCAGACAGCGCCGTTGTTGTGGTTTCCGGCACAGTTGGAGCCACCGCAGTTGGCAATGACGACGAAGTTGCCGTTGGCGCATTGGACCTAGAAAAGAAAGAGAGATTGAATGAATTAGTTCACTTTCTTCTCCCTCACGATTTCTTAAGAAGAAAGGTGTGTTGTTTGAAAACTTACAATGCTTCCACAGCTAGGATCGCAGGCATATCCGTTGCCGCTGCAGGACGCGCCGATGGGATAGGCATCGATAGGGGCGCCGAATTGCGAACCGCAGACTCCGACCTGGCGAGCCTCGAGAGGGCTGGCTAGAGCTGGGGAGGCAGCCAGGAGGGCGCCGAATAGAGCGGTGAAGGTGGTGAACTGCATTTTTGATAATAAAAATAGAAAGTTTTGTGTTTGTTTAAAAGGTGATTGTTGTGGTTGTTGTTGTTGTTGATGATGATGATGAGTGAGGATGAGAATCGAAAGGGGGGACTTGTCCAGTCTTTATATACCCGTCGCCATGGCCCGGCTCAGATACAAACGAAACACTGACATGGCCTCTTCTTCTGGCTGACGCGTCTCTCCCTCTCTCACTCTCTCTCTCTCTCTCTCGATGAATGGCTCTCTTCGCGAGGTCTTGCTCTTCCTCGTTGCCGTTTTCCTTTTTTCCCTCGCTTCGGTCCATGCATGCAGCCTTGCTGAGCTAAGAGGATTGGCGTGCCGGGAATAGCATCTTCGTCAATTACTGCCTTCCGTCTTTAGCCAAGGGACCACAACCTTGCAGTGTTCGAGACCATCAAGTTGATTAATCTCCTACTTTTCACTTTCACCGCCCTTGTGTAGGATTAGGTATGTACCATTGTCAACGGAACATAACATATCGCACAGTCCTACATCTGCCTAGATCAGGGATGATGACTTTTGGTCAGACAGATTGTATCCCGGCACAGTAAGTACAGGCAGAGATTTATCCGCGCAACTACTTCTGTGGCAAGCTTCACTACCCTCCTATTGGTAAGGTAAGATTGTTTGCCACTGACTTAATGTAGCCGTAGATAATCACCCATTCGCAGGAAAGTCGTGATAATATGAGGCAAAGTGTACGAGAGTCTAGTTAACCCTTCTATATTACCTGCCCAACATAGGACTTACAACCAAGGCTTCATGATAGAAGACATAAATCAACACCGCCGCTATGTCAGATAACCATGACCTTACTCGGTAGTGAAGAACTCTAACCCAAGTAGCTTGCCACTGTTCCTCTCTTACACCGCGGAAATACCACGACACGACAGTGCCATCTAAAGAGGAGAGAGCGGCACTTAACAACCGACATACTAGGACGTCCACCGTCGTATTCATCATGCAGCCACATTATATAAGCTTACTTGCATCTGCCGGGATTTCATTACAAAGAAAAATAAAAAGAGGAGCAAACTAGCAAGTTGGGATCACATAAACTTATGTTGTAATAGAACCCTAGCTTCGTTTCCGGAACTTTACGTAACACCCGGAAGGGAATTACAACAGCTAATAGGGTAGATGACAACATATAAGGCATAACCTGAACTTGGCAGGGGGCTTACGTACATTCATTACCTTCTTGTATAGGTATCGTCTTTAAGGGTCTCGAAGCGAAGAGGAATGCGAATGCATGTCTAAAGAGTCAGCCCTACATTATATCCCTGCCCAAACTCATCAGAAAGTGGGTGCTGTTATAATATTACGTGCGTATCTAGGCAATGTACGAGTACTTGCTCCGTAAACACGTCCGGTCCGGATTAAAACTCAAAACAATCTTTGCGTACCTATGTAATATACAATAGCCAGCTGACGGACGCATAGGGCAAAAAAAGAAAAAAGAAATCGTAAAAGCAAAAAGAATTATCTCCGAATCGGGGAATCGAACCCCGGGCTTGACGGCACCAGATCATACTCCCATAAGTGGATAGAGAAGTAATGAGAGCGTCAAATGTTAGCCACTACACCAATTCGGATAATCAATGTAAAGAAAGTTTTGTCAAGATTGTCATCATTGCCCACTAGCGGAATCGAACCGCTGATCTTGTCATGTCATCAGGAGATGGATATTACTAGTGACACGCTATACCACTTAGCCAAGCGGGCATTTCTTTGTATGTTTGACAGATATATTTCGTGCATGTTATGATGGTCTTTGTTTGTGCAGTACTGGAGGTTTGATATACCTAGATAGTGGTGGACCTGCGGGCCGATAGAGATTTTCGATCAGATAACTTAATAGGGTTAAGCTAACATGTTTTCGGTTAGATGGATCAAAATAAAACCTTAATCTACCACGGCAGAGGTACACGGAAGCTTATCGGACAGTCGACTGCCGTACTCGTAAGCCCGAGGGATAGGTAGCGTCTCCGGTTACTAATCTCTGGCATCTGACCTTGACCATCTCCTGCTATATTACGGCGTAAGGAAAACATTGGTAATGAGAACCGTCGAAAAGGAACTGCGACGACGGAATTACCTACACTAGACAACGAGTGTGCTACGTGTATGAGGGGGGTTCGTCCCCGAGAACATAACACTAGGCCTTCAACGCCTCTGTAAATAGGGAATTTCGACTAGGTATTTACATGGATACACAAACCTATCCAAAGATCAGCGTGTCGGTATTCTTAAAGCTAGGTGTAACTCCCTCCCTACCTATTCATCCCAAAGATTCAATGACTACTTGCTTTAGGGGCCATACAGATCGAATATACCAGTTGCCCCGACTGTCGACAAACAGTATCGTTGACTTGATCGGCTCACCGTGATATACCCGTACCGAAATTAGATACAATACGTCAGGTTGAATAGGTAGGTATGCACACTTGGGCTAGTTCAGTCGGTATGTAGGTACATTTTAGACTAAAAAGCCCCTCTATCGGAGCTTGAAAAGATCGACAGTATCCCGCCATCTGCAGAGAATCTGGGGTCTATGCATTTCACAAGGTAGCGAGGCAGAGAGGTTGGTTAAACGCTGTATTTGGGGCAGGGCATTGCCTAGGCCTGGCGGTACGCCCGGATTCGCTGCATGGACGGACATGGCTTCTACGCGGCGGCGCAGCCAGGTCTAGGTAACCACCCTACTATAAAAAACGAAACCAAAAAAACACGACCCTAACGATCCTCCCTTCCATCCTTGCCCGCCCTATAGGCTAATTCTTCTGACCTAGACCCCTAGCGCAGCCCTGGACTTGCAGGACAGGTGCTAGCGGATAGACCTACTGCGTAGCGAATACAGGTCGAAAAACTAACCTATCGGCAACCACCGAAGGGACGGTGGGTGGGTTAAAAAACCTCCGACCACGACCAAAAACCACCCCCTTCGTGGGAGGTGGAAAAGGGAGGTGACGAGGAAAAACCCTACACATGCAGACCTAGGTCACAACTACCCTTTTATACCCGCGGTGAAGGGATAAAAGGGGGGCTGGGAAATAGGTTGGTCTGTGCGCGCGCCGCTAACCTTGCTAAGCATAGACCCCTTTATCTATTCTAACCTACGAGTAGACGGAAACAGGCAATGACTAAAGTAGACAGCAATACTAGACTACCGTTGCGTGTTCCGACTGCTCACCATACTTACTCACCTACAAAGTTCTGCTACAAACTCTAATCCAACCGATATACCTAGCAGCGGGCGAGCATGGGAACTACACGTAGACAAGCCCCAAATGATCTTCCAGAACTCATATGCGTCAAGCAGAATCAGATGATCACATGATATTGACAATTCTCAAGTGGCGACGATGCATCTTTTCTCCTCATAAGTGTTACTCGCGCCATGTCAAATAAGGTTCAAGTGTCGACACACAACTGAGCGAAGCAAGGAGGCTTTGAAAATATGAACCGCGAGATCCTACAGAGGCTTATCCCATAGATGTTATGGTACGTCCAATGTCAGTTATTGTAGTAATTCCCAGACAGTCACAGAAATGGTCTATTAACCATCCTTTTTCTAGTAGGTACCTAGTATGCTCTATGCCAAAGCGATCAGACCGAAAGCTGAGGAACGGCGTATTTGAACACATTGTCCGGATCATACTTCTTCTTCAGCTGTACCAGCTTGTCATAATGCGAGCCGTATATCTTCCTGTAGTCCGAGTCCTCTTCTCCTAGGAGCGACACATAAGAAGATTCGAGCACGTTCTCCGCGTCCGTTTCTTTGAGCTCCTGGATCGTAGCGCGGGCCAAGTCGGCGGCTTTGGGGGCGATTTCGGCAACGGGAGTTGTGCAGACCAACTCGAGCATGATGTGCTCGACTCGGGCACCAAAAACGGCTTCTTCACTGGGGGCCGGCGCACGAAGAGCGTGCACGGACACGGCTACGGCACCGCCAGGGATCGACTCCGTGAACTTTGCCAATACCTCGGCCGTCCTTTGTGTCTTCTTCCCCAGGTTCAGTGTGTAGCACCGGCCATAGGAACCATATACCAGGAGTGATTCGTTGAATGCAATGTACTTTGACACAGACTGCGGTTCCGGGTTATTCAAAAGACATTTGCCGAGAGCAGCGATCTTGTTGATCCATCTCTTGCCCTCTTCGTGGTCTGCGTCCGCCCACGTAGCCCCGACGGCCATGACTTTGCCGAGACCGGGGAGCTCAATACCGAACATCTGGAGCTGGAGGGCACGAGGTAGGGGCTGCTCAGCAACTAATTTCTCATAACCCTCTGCATATGACGTCCATGTAGCCTTCAGGTCGCTGGAATCAAATACTAAGAGAGACACCAGGAGCTGATTCGTAATACATTTGGTTAGTGATGGGCTTGGCCAAAAGCGATTACGGACATTGACTCACTTCCTTTAGCGGGTAGACTTTGATAGTGAGTTCGACGATGACGCCAAAAATGCCACCGCCGCCTCGAATTCCCTGTAGAAGTTCTTCGCCAGCCTCAACTAGCTCGCCTTTGGCATTTACGACCTTTGCGCCTACGATCTGATCGACACCCAGGCCGTGACTTGTCGAAAAAGGCCCATAACCACCAAGGGTGGCCCAGCCAACATATCCAACGCTAGCAACTGAACCCCTAAAGCCGGAAGTTGTCCGTTAGTAAATACGCAATAATCCTAGATTGGCGTAACCCCGGGAAAGCTTGGGATTTATGTTGTTAAGAATAGGGATTGAGGATGGGAAGTACTGACATGGGGGTTACCAGCCCTCTGGCGTCTAATTCTTTAGCTAGATCTCGGAAGAGGATACCACCACCTACGGCGGCAGTTTTCTTGTCCTCGCTGACATGAACGTGTTTGATATCACGCATATCAATGCTCAAGGCGTCGTGAACTTGGCTACGACCGGCACAATCGTGTCCGCCCCCTCGTACAACGAAGTCAACGCCCTTCTCCGTACAGTAACGTACGAGCGCCTGGACATGCTCGGCGTTCTGCGGACGGGCAATGGCAGATGGCACCGTATCCCGTCTAACATAGCAGAGCCGAGTAGCTTCGAAGTCGGCGTTGGAAGGCTTGATAAGCGGCAGTGGCGGCTGCTGTCCAGCCAAGTGTTGCTCGAGTGCGGCGATGGCCGCAGAAGGGTCAGAAGCCATTAATTTTTCTCTTTCTATATCTTTTTCTAGAGTGAGGTCGTTATGTTCCTGCTTACTGATCCAAAGGACAGATAAAATTGTAACGCAGAGACGTGTAGAGTGGTATGTACCTGCTTATATTACAGTAACATGGCAGTCTTAGGTGAGCTGGCCCGCCGTCTCTCAGCGAATGACATGTTCCCCATCTGGTCCGGACCCCCCAATGAGGGGCACCTTTTCCCGCCCACCAGGTCGGCAACCTCGCCATTCTGCTGTGTTGTACGTGTAGGTAATCACATATGATATGGAATCAATGGTGTAACTACAATGGTCACACTGGAGGTGGCAGAGCATGCCATTTGCGAGCAATTATCCCTAAAAGACAAACTTGCCATCTGTTTACTATTGATGCTCACAAAGCTGCGTAGTAGTGTCAACTTAATCCCGCGGGAAAGGAGACGCTGGTTTCCATAGGTATTTGTACGTTGCCAGAAACAAAGACTTGGATTTCATCAAATCCTGAGGTGCCTGTCGTTACTTCCTTGCGTACATGGATTCCTAATCCAACGGGAAGGTGTAGGTGTACCGTGTACCCCGCGCCGCATACCTACCATCGTGTTCAAGCCCCTTTATGGACTCGTTTATGTGAAAGCACCCCTACCGCTCCCTATATATACACGTATATTATCTGCATGATTACCTGCGTACTCAACATGCATGTTGCCCAACATAACATTGACTAATCAAGATATGTAGTTATGTCCATTGGCGTTTTCTTCAGCAGTTCAAGACCAACTGCATGATTTTGTGCTGGGCCACATGCAGGTGTTCGGCATTACCCCGCTACTGGTAGTACAGTCCTAGGAAATCCGTGGAATACCTAAGCGGCTAAACTGCACTATTAGATATAGGAACGCGAGATTCTGTAAAGGAGCAGAATGGTGTGTGACAAACCTTTAATCTCTACATTAGAGCAGGCACTTATCACCACTTGGGTGACTGGGGATTCGAATAAAAAGCAAACCAGAGCTAGACGCGGATTCTTGATGCCGATGCCGATGCAGCGATGTAGGTAGCCAAAGCCAGATCAGTCACACTTCACGTGTATGCCTAACTAGGTAATAGGTATGTGCCTATCTAGGTTAGGCAAGAGGTAAAGACCTGTAATCTATCATAAGCACCACCGATCGCACGGCCAATCTTAAGCAAGGTTATCTAATCGCTGACCAATTACAGCAAAAGGGTTGGCTTACGCAAGATGATGCTAAAATATACGCAAAAAGGTAGCCAAGATCAGATATTAGCTGGATCACCAGGATCCCCCAGTTGTGTAAGATTGGTCCCAACTTTAGTAGATAAAGGTTACAGTCACTCCAAATAAATAACAACCGGTTCTAACAACTTACACTAAAACTTACCTGTTTTAAAAATTAATAACTCTTTGCCTTTACAATTTAAAAAATCTAAAAAAATATTGTTAAATAGCTTATAATTAAAGCATTTATATACTAATACGGCTAGCTTATATACAAAGTATAGCAATAGCTTTTAAGCTTTAAAATTTAGTAAAATTAAAAATTT